GTCAGATTAATTTAAATGGTTATGATACCAGAGTAAAACAATCTTATGACCCTTCATTTTATGTTTTTAAAAAAACACTAAATAGAAAAAAAAATACAAGAATTACCATATTTCAATATTGAAGTGATACCAATAATCCTCTGATCATATGTAGTCTGTTTGGCATTCAGCTATGCATGATAACTTTGTTACAGCTATTACATGTATGCAAGTATTAGTCTTGACAAAATCTTTGTATTTCAAGTGACATTGTGTCCACCATGACAGGCAAAACAAGTTGCATTGCCATCTGAACTTGTATGATAAACATTTATTGTTTTTCCACTGTCAAGCACTTTGTATAACCAAAGCAGCTGAGCAGATTGATTCAAGGTCTATTTCAGTATAAATCTACCAACTGAACATCATAATTAAGAAGTATTCAGAAACTGAATTGTAACAAGCTATAGTTGAAAGAAGTATACAAGATAATAAATTTTACATTCCACTCTACACAGCCTACCTATCCTATGTTATAAAAATCCTAACTGAAACATTTCAAGTGCTCATTGGAATTGCACTGCTGTTGACGACTATGTGGTCAAATGGCATTATGATTTCAGTTTTTTCAACCAAGTTGGCTTAGGGGTATGTTTTGTAGACCTTTGCTGTCTTAAAACTCTTCTGTGTGGGTTTTTTCTGCTTCCTTAAAGATTATTGAAGGCTCCCTTCTTAGAAATGTTGTGTTCTTTAGCTCTACATCATTTGACATTTTCACTAAACAAATGTTCTTCAGAAAAAGCTGTAACATTTTTACAACCATAGGTCTACCTGTGGGCTCTTTAAAACACTTGATTATATAAATGCTGAACATGTTGGTCATCGCACCAGAGCTCACATGTACAATGAAACACCACTGCAATAACAGTTGCAAATCATTTTTATAAAGTACAGTTTTTCTTCTGTAATACTGTTACTTGTACTAAGTGTTGATTTTTGTAAGTTGAACAGAACTGCTGACTTGTCATATTTCTCACACTTTATTTAGGAGGCTACCAAGGATATTATGGTAACCGTGAAGGCTATGGCAACAACTATGGAAATAACTTCAGGCGAGGAGGTGGAATGCAACGTGGTGGTGGAGGAAACAGACCTCGTAAGCAAATTTCTTATCATTTTAATCAGTAGTATTTCTTTTTTTAATGAATAACATTAATCAAATGATTTGTTAATAATATTTTTTTTAAATAAATTATGTTGTTTTAAAGCATCTTCAATGCTAGTCTCTCCGAACTCAGGTTAAGGAACTCCCAGCTCTGTACTTACTTCACAGCTAGTGTGCATTTCTTCATATACCAGTGTCTTAAGTGTTTCCTTGAACATAGAATTGAACTTATCTTGGTATGGTGTGTGAAGATTAATTTGCAAATTTTGTTCTTTGCTTGACCATAGATATTGGAAAACTGTATGTCTTTTAACATTTTAATACAAAAATCTTCATTTACTTTGTAGCTCGAGGTGGACAAAGTACAAGGGGTAACCCTCGTGGAGGGTACAGACCAAGAGATCAATAGACCTGCATTCAGTAAATGATTACTTAAAAGATTAAAAAAAAATGTTCTCGAACTTGGCAGTGGCATTAAAAAGACAAAGGAAATATACTTTCAGATTTTTTTCTACACTTGGCAAAATTGCCATCTTCTTTTATTACAACCCTCTTGATTGTCCACAAGCTTTGGAAAGGTCTAGCATCCTATGGTGCTTCCAGATGATAGTAGTAAACAGAAACAAGAAAAAAGTGAGCTGAAAAACTCTGGATAGTGTGTAACAAGTGTTAGGACATTCACAATTCCGTTCAGTTACCCCTCCCAGTGGAACTTTTCAGGGACCAGCTGTGATGTGATGACTAATGTTTTTCAGTGGCATGATTGGACAGTTTCATGTTGGTAAAAAATTAATAATAAGAAGATGGGAAGCTTCTCTTTGTGCAGAGAACTCTAAAGCTTGTGGATTAAATGATTACAATAATACATGAACAGATATATGGAGGAAGTTTTACAGAAGTAGTGTGGATTAAGAGATCTTCAAATTTCAGAATGAAGTGAAGGCAGATTTCATTGGGCAACAACCAGAATCGCTGCCAGCTATCTTTCCAAATTTTTAGTGCTTAAATGAACACTGTAGCTTCAAAATTTAAAGATGTTCATCTTTCTTTTTGGAAGTGTGTGTGTGCATGCACGTAAAAATAAGAAGTGACTTGATGTGGCTAGGATGTTGTACAACATTAGTACTTTCCGTTAAATATTGATCAGGTTTATTGCCCTGTTATTTAGTTTAAATGATATTCTTACAGATGTATGTCAGTTAAGCGCTTAGCAACATGGATAGTCATAAGTTTACCCACAGTGCCTCTGTTACCCAAACAGAATCCTGAATTTCCCACTTTACAATTTCATAAAGTAGTAATCTAAATATTTTAAGTTTTCTCTGTCAGTCATGACTGAGTGTACTTGTCTACACTTCAGATTTTTTATTAGAACATGCTGTTATTTAGTTTCAGTTCAAATAAAGTGTTCTGATAAGCATACTTCAATGTCTTGTATCTGTTATTAAAAAAGTTATAAAGCTGTATTTTTTATAGGACAAAAAAAAACTGTATTTTGTGTACATCAAACTTTCAATATTGAAAATTTAATACGTTAAGAAGTCTGAGGTATGTTCACCAAACATCTGAATGTATTAAAGTTTTAACATTATGTACAAAAGATACATGCAGTTTTAAATTACTCTTTGTTTTTTAGTGCATTTTGAGAATCAAAGATCTTTTTAGTGTTTCATCAAAGTTTAAAACAACTTTATGAAGTAACAAGCTATGCAGTCTCAAGGTTATTCTACTGAAAGCGTGTATATGCTGTTATAACTGAAGCAGGAGGAATAACAAAAAAAATGTGTTTATAGTTATTTATTTACACTAGCAAACAAAGGAGTTCAAGAGTGTATAACTACATCAGCCACACAGAACAAAAAATGGCAACCAAATTATAGAACTATCAAAAAGTTCACTTTGGTCATTACTAAATGTTATTTACAATTTCCTTTTTAGTGCAATTATAACTGACAAAATAATAATTTATCTTTGTATTTAACAATCAAGAACACCGAAGTAGTGTACAGGATATACACCTCATATTTCCAATGACCCCATTTAGTGACACAAATAAAAAGATGTATACATTCCCCAATTATCAAGTTCTACTACTTTTCCTTTACAAGTTTGTGCCACATTTAATCAAATAACCACAGACAATAATTTTTGAAGGTTATTTTGTTAACTTAAGCTAGTTTGCCATTTACAAATAAGCATCAAATGTAAGTTGACTGATTCTACAAGAACAACAAATGGCTGTTAAGTGAATTTAGTGCTTAATGCTTTATTGAAGCTTAAATCTTCTATATACAGGTTTAAGAAGTCGTTACAATCACAGAGAAAAAATGCTAAAATACACAAGTCTCATAATACTTAAAAATCACCACATACAGAAACAAACAGTAATACCATTCTGCACCTCATTTCCATATTAAACAACACCTGTGACGTGTACTACAAATATTTGGCACGACACACACGCACTTTTTAAGATATCAAACACTGTACAAAATTATGTAAGATATGCTATTACTAAGCATAATACAGTCTTCAAAACTTAAATTAAAAACAACCCTGCCAGTTAATATTAAATCCAGAATACACTATTATGTACAAAATAAGAGACTTTCCACATTGACCTACTGGTACTTTATAATAAGATATTTTTGTACCAGAATAGTGCTGAAATATATTTAATTATATACCACAGGATGAATGTTGTATGTCTATAAGCCTTTTTTTTTTTTTCATTATTGGGCTTACAGTACATTTTAAGTTTCATTTTAGTTTTCTAATTTATTAATGAAAACTATATAATCTTATCACCTTTTTGATTTTAACTTTTATAGTATTGCAATTGGCCTAAATGTACTGTTTTCAACAATTCAAAAACAAAGATAAAATCCAAAACTGCTGAAAGATTTAATTAATAATGCACAAGTACTATTAATGTATTCTTGTTAACACTATAATATTTTACTTTGAAAAAAATTACAACTTATGGCAGTCTGTTAAGAGCACATACTATACTTCCATCTAGGCCAAATATGTTTAATTTCAATTAAAATCGTGGTTGTATTTATCTATCTAATTTACCTTCCTTTCTCACTATATACAATGAGCTGCATTAACCTTGTTAAGAATAAATACACATTTAACATATGTACATGTCTATACCTATATTAGTCTGTATTTAAAATTGTAAGTCTCTATCATCATAATTAAACTTTCAGAAAACAAGTTAAAAATAAAATAAATTGTTTTGTCAGTCACTTTAAATGCCCTTTTAATGCATGGCCGTAGAACTATTTTAATAAATGTCATTGCATTAAACTCCTTAAACCTGAGTGGACGCTGCCAGAATCCGGCCGAAAATTCCAATTTACCCATCAGATGGTGACGGCGCCTGATAACATTTGTCTCTTTGGCTGAAAACTAATCCAAACCATGTTATTATCCACCTTTGGTAAATATACTGGAAGTTTTATAAGGACATCATGAAAATAATTCTGGCAGAATGCATAAAAAATAATGGGTTTAAAAAGAGTTAAATGCATGAAATTATAAATTGTATTATTCTTGAAGGATAAATAGGCCTTATTCACACTGTTGAAGTGTACTTATCATGCACAAGTTGCCAAGTTCTAAGATCGTTCTTTGATAAATACAGGGAAACTCACTCTAGTATCATTACTGTTGTACAGCAATAACTAGTAAACCATTTTACTGGGAAAAATGTTTTTCACTTTAATAGCAAGTGATTGTTAATACCTTTCTGTATTTGAACAAATTCCTACTCATAATATGGATGATCTAAAATGTAACTGACTATTAAAATTATTATTTTCCCAAGGTTTAAAAAAGTTGTGGTAACAACTAAGTTTCTGTGGGAACTTAAATTCACGGAGGACTTTCTAACCCTAAAGAAAAATCTGACTCCATTTTGTAAGAAATGAAATTGGTTCCCCTCCCCTTTTTTGGCCACTTATACTAAAATGTTTTCTATTATAAACTGTTCATCCTTCTTTGGTTAGCATAATGTACCTGAATTGTTTGGAAACTTAACTTCAAATAGAAATGTTATTACATACATGTATTTAGTCACTGTTTTGTGAACAGGCAAATTCACGCTGCACATGCAATATCCACTGCTAATTTCAGTTAGAAGATACTTAATGCCATTTCCAAAGAAGCCTTAAATTTTTTTTAACATTAATTTGATACAAAACTTCATAGAAATACAGATAAACAAAAAAGCCTTTTTTTTAAAGGCTTTATTGTGCATGAATAAGTTACTTGTAGCTTACTCTGATTTTACATAAATAATAACATGAAATAAAGGTATCTATTAAATGTGATAATCATGATTTATTTTCAATACATCCTGATAAAATGCACACCTAGAAATATTCATATATACAAGTGAAAAGTCTTATACAGTATAAATTCTGCAGTTTAGTTAATATATTAAACACAAGATCATGCATTATTACTACATCTATGAACACCATTCTCTTCTTAACATAAAAGAGCCATTACCTAAGCATGCTGTGCTAGCATACTGAACAACTTTTCTCAATATAGAATACAATTACTTTTTTATTAAACACATTTTACCTACAGAATAGCACACCACAAAATACCTAATGTTTAGCTCTTTTTTTTTTCCTGAAACAAAACAAGACTGTTAGCTTGCATGTCTTTTATAAGCTTGAGGTTAGAATCATAAATATAAGCAAAAAACGACCAGCGTGCAGCGTGTGAAACACTGTTGAACACAAAATGATTGATAAAAGAAACATATAATTTACCTCTACTTTCAAAACTTTGGAAGAGGTCTTGAAAATTTATACTAAGTACTTTTTCAAGAATTAAGCAGTAAAGGTACATGCTCAATCAAACAAATAAAAGAATGGATATATTCAAGATTTTTTTGTGGTAAACGTTTTAACCTAAGGTTATGGAACATAGCTTTCTACCTTTCTATACTTTTATAAACACATTTGCTTAGAAAAAAAGTAATCCTTTAAATCTCTAGGAAATGTAAAAGGGCTTTAGCCATGAATATCCTGTATGCATATAACAGAATGTAATATTCCATGTTCTTAACCCTGTCAAACGTTTTTTTTATTTTATTTTATTTTAGAAATTTCTAATAAAGCATGTCAAACACTAAATATGACCATTTTGAAAGATGGTGATAAAAACATACAACACTCAGTACAGGTTTCATACCTGAATGAATTTGTTTCATTATTCTTTAATAATTAATTCTGATATTAATTTTTTTAGGAAAAAATTAAAAGCTGTTAAAAAACTTTTAATGACCATTTCTGCTATGAAGTATGAGCAAAACAGTCAAACTATATTAACATCATAAGACACAACAAGGGTAAACATTATTTTTCCAAATACTGGATTAAAAACATCAATGCTAAAACATATAAGATGTAACTCTTAAGTCAATACAGTAAGCAAAATAAACATTATTTCTAAGAGATAGCTCACCTTGAGAATTAAAAAAAAGAGCCAATCAATCCCTTTATATAGCACCTTCAACTGTAAATTATGTTAAGTCTAAAAAAATTTTTATACTAAAATTTACTTTTGCATACACCACTATGCAATTTATAATTGTACCCACTACTACTTTGTAGAGAATTTACACTTTTTTATCATTTGTTTACATTTTCATTCAAGCTGTTTCATTCCACAAAATTTGGATTCTGGGATTTGAGTTAATGCCAACTGTTTAACTAATGTAGAAAAAAAATTCTTAACAATGCACTCCTTTTCTTCGTAACAACTATTTTTGAAGCTTACATATGGCTCCTTAGTATATTTGTGAAATTTTGTATAATATAATTTTCCTTACTTTAACAAACTTTTTGAAGCCAAAGGTAACAAATTGAACATCAGGTACAAATTCTTTTCCAACCATCTGAATTTGAGTCTGTTTTCTGAAGTGATCCTCACTGTAATTTTTTCTCTTATTACGAAAATTGTAATTTTTGGTGAAAAAGAAAAATAAAGCTCAGTTCTATCATTCAATTTGTCATTTGTTACTAATTTAGACTAGGTGGAGAGAAGTCCACACCTCATCCTGGGACAAGGGCTAGTCTTGTTTTTATGAAATGTCCTTGTTCATTATTAACAAGAGGTGGAATACCCTAAGACCATTCTAACTCCGATTGATAGTGAAACAAATGATAGATTGGGCTTCACATTTCTTGCCAAAAGTTATGGTTCTGGTGATGAGAGAAAATAAAGGTTGTGAATAATCTAAAACAATAAATCAGTAGCATTAATTCTAAGAACTGATGAGAGAAAGCACACTACATCTGTCACATCCAGTTAATGTTACTAATTTCTCAAATGCATATGTAATTCACTTTAGTAAATAAAGACAATTCAAATAACATGGTGTAAAAAAAATCGTTTTAGTCGAAAATTTAGATATGTTTCAGACAGCATATTATAAGAAATAAAAACAAATATTCAACATGATGAGTGAATTCTTGTAATAGCAAATCAAGATGTTTTGAAGTTCTTATTAGTAATTAACAAGATTATTAAAAACCTTCCTTACTTGATAAAACCCAATTAATTACCAACTGCCCGAAAGTGTAGATGAACTGGTAGTTTTCAAGATTTTATTATAAAGTATGTAAATGATTTCCTCCTCAGACCATAGTCATGAAATCATCAGTTACTAACATCAAGTTAAAGTCATCATCAGATTGACATCCCAAGATGAGAAGTAGAATAGTTTTTTCAATTCTAGGACTTTTAAAACTATTTGTAAAACTTTAGGGATTTGTTTATGGAGACTTAAAAGTTAAAGAAATTTATGGCTGCTGGAGATTTTATACTTGGCATATATTTAGACATTTAAATTCTCCAGTGTTAATTTAACAATTATTAAGTCATATATTTGACATATAGTTATACATTCAAAGTGAAAAGATGAAACCAATACATAAAGTGATTGAATTTTTGTATACTTAATATACCAATTCTGGCTGCTTAACTTTGTTTAGTTATCTATAATGGTATTCTGTATTTAAAAAACACTCCCAAAATATTTAACCATCAAGTTTAAATGGAAAAACAGAGCAATAAAAATATGCAAAAAACCTCACTATATATATATATAAATATAATTCCAAAGAACTGGGCCAAAAACACATAGCATCTAACATATGTTGGATAAACAAATAAACCTTAACATACAAACTACAGAGTGGATATAGTAAAGTGTATCCTAATAGGAGAGGTGTCTGTTGAAGTAAGACATAGGATTGTGAAAAGAGGTTTAATCTCATCACCATAACTGTACGAGTTCTACTCTGCAGATACCTCTTCTATTACAAAACATTTTATATCATTCTTGTCATACTCTGTTCCTAGTTTTGTGTTACACATTTTTATTTTAGGCCTAATTGTTTGATATACAACAAAAGTCACTTAAAATAGGTGAGATCATTTTATTTTCCATTCTTTTTTTCCTTACAGATGTTAAAACTAATGCTAGTTTAGATGTGTGTGTGACTTTTGTAATATATATATCACTATATATTTTATAATTGTATGTACTTTATAACAATTTTTTTTTCTGATCATTTGTTCACATTGTTATTTAAACTGTTTCAATTCATAGCATTTAGTTTCTGTGACTTTGGGTTAATGTCAAATGTTTAAGAAACATACAAAAAGAAACTAACCATAATTTCGGACATATGCATTTTTCTGATAAAATAAAACCCTAAATCACTAACCATATAGGGTTAACTTAAAGGCCAGTTAAGCCTCAAAAAACATGAACTTTATTTTATTGGTCACACCTCTTTATAAAACATTAAGCAATCTTATTACAACCTAAAATATAACCAATAATTGCAGACTGAAATTTTCCTTTATCCACTAAATCTTGTTAATTCTTAGAACTGTTATATTAATTGTACCTTCTTATCAAAGTACTTGAAATTTTTTTATAAACTATCCATTACTTGTAGTTATATATCTACTCTTATTAAGTATATGATTTCATTCCATTAATATGTTAGAAATTCCTTTACTTTCTCAGTGTTGGAGACACAATGGAAAAATAATTATCTGGTGTATCCCAGTCACTTGACTTTTATTTTTGACATGTAATTCTCTCATTTCTTTACAAAGTGTAATAGTTTTTAACTTTAACATCAAAAGATTATAAAATATTCTAAAAAATCATTAAATAACCATCAACTCTTGCCTTTATCCACTATCATCTTGACTTTCTTTCTACAGTGCTAAATTGTAAGAACAGCGAGATTAAAATATGCAACAGTTGGGCAATACTTGCATTTTTAAGTTCTTTAGAGGAAAATAATAGCCATGTGTTTTCTAACAATATCCATCAGTTCCTACTGATGTCAATTAATGGAGTTGAGAATGTAAAAGAATGATAAAACTCTTTAAATAAAATAAAATAAAATCCACCCATATCAATTTTTCTGGTTTATAAGCTGGATTATCTTTCTAAGTTATAAAAATTCAACCACACTAAACAACCAAGGCAGTTAAAGAATTTTTAGTGTATCTTACATAATATATATATTCCGGAATATGGTAATACAAAAATTAAATCATCATTATATTACATCATGGAGGGGAAAAAAAACACCTCAAATCAATTAAAAATGCTGAAGTAACATTTGTCTAAAATGTTTGTGCGTCAAACCAATTCATATTTTCAATTTTATAAGTTGACTTTTTTTAATCTGAAAAGAAAAATTAAATATTTATTATTAAACTTTATCTCACTTATTATTATTAAGATATACACATGTAGGTTTTTAAAAAATTTTTTAAGCCATTACTTATCCAAAGAATGCAAACTTCAGAAAACAAACTGTCTAAATAATGCCAACATTAATGCTTTTATCTAAAACTAAAATACATTGACAACCCAGGTATATATACATATACAAAGGTTTTGCAGACAAAAAAAAAGAATCTAACAATGATCTCTCCTGAGTGGAAAACAAGTCACCTCATAATTAATAGGAAAGTCCCAGAAAAAAAATTTTCACTAAACTTTTGGCTGTACAAATGGTATAGTTCGATGAGACTGTACAATAAAAATTATGTAGGAGAGATGAATCTTTATTGTCACCTCCTCCTTTCACACTCATTCCACATTTCCACTACTTCAGTAAACATCTGAAAAGTAATGAAAATATCAAAATACACTGGAAATAAAAACAACCCAACAGATGTTCCCTAAAAAACACAACTCTTAAAGTATATCCATATATCAAGTAATCTAGAAAAGCAACTACAAAAAAAATAATTACTTATACAATCACACCTATACTTCATTAACACATTTGTTCCATGACTTAAACATCAAAATTAAAGTTTGTTTCTACAGATATGTGTGTATAGTATTAGTTATGCTACAAACATTATTTCCTTTTTCATAAATTACACAATTTAAGTTACATGATAATATGTTTATAGTATTAGTCATGCTATAAATAATATTTCCTTTTTTTATAAATTATGCAAGTTAAATGTTTATAGTATTAGTTATGCTACAAACATTATTTCCTTTTTCATAAATTACACAATTGAAGTGATAATGTTTATTGTATTAGTCATGCTACAAACAATATTTCCTTTGTTTTTCAATTTAAGCTAAAGGATAACAGAAAACACAATGAACCTTCTTGTAAAACTTAATTTAACCACTTCCCTAATCCATTTTCATTACATTCAAGGCATTTTTGACCAACATTAATTTTATTCAGCAGTACGAGTAACTCTGATTTTGCTTATTTAAATTTAAAAAATTATTTGTAATCATTTTTTTACAATTTCTTCTATGACAAGATTAAATTATCTTTCTTAAAGGGATGATCTGTATATGAGTAAAATATAAAACCATAAACAATTAAAACTATACTAATGTGTCTACTATGGAATATGAAATATAAAAATGTTTTTTGTGAATGAATAAATATTACACTCACTGTGGTCATATTCTCTTTATTTCATATTTACATTAGTATGGCTAGTAAAAATAAAATGTAACAAAATATTGTGTTAAGTAGACTTAGATTATAAGATGCTGAACAAAAACTGACAACAGTTGCCAATTTGCATGCTTTAGACAAATGGTAGACAATCTGCAACCTTATTTTGCAGCACTTAAGAATGTTTGAGAGATGTACGTGTGGCCCACAGATTATTTTAGGTTGCCCACCACACCAATGATGGGAAAGGGGTATATGAATTTTGTATTTATGGCAAAGCTACTAAGGCCGTTTATCTAATGCCACCCCTAATTTTGAACTACTGAGAGAAGGCAGCCAGTCAGGAACACTCCACAACCCATGTTAAAGGACTAATTGTAACACTCACTCTTACAAAACACCTGCAGCTTTAAGTGCAAGGAATATTTTGTGGTAATGCACAGATTTAAACCTGACTTGCCAGCTCCAAATGTTGTGGGATATATGCTTCCACAACATAAGCAAAAACTGCAGGACATACAAGTAATCAAGTGTCTTTTAGGTAAAAAGTATAGAAATTATTTATGTTTGCAGGAAACTAAGAGTCAAAATGTAATACATTTACATTATGAAACCATAGTAATACTGTTATGTCATAACAATTAATAATAGATACTTTTGAAGTCAATACACTCGTACAAGAAAAGAGACACCGAGACCCGCATTTAGGACCTCTGACTAACAAGGCCAGTGCTTCCACCACTGAGCTTATAAAGCTTCCCATAATGAGTATGAAAACCATACTACGTTACGACAGGTACAAAGGTCAAATCACAGAAGTCTCTTACAGACTTACAATTATTTATTAAAGTTTGTAAGAGAACCACAGTAATATTGTGATATCATAATAATTAACATATATTATTAATTAGATCTAACATTAAACAAATGTAGAACTTACCCTGCTAACCCATGAATTATCTTCTAAACATTCTTCCAAGATTAAGTGAGATTCTTTGTTGTCATCTCCTCCTCGAACAGCACTCACCTAATATTCAACATATACATACATATATAAATCAATAGTTCTAGTACTACACATTACATTAACTGTAAATAGGTGATCAAACCAGCACTTTAAACAATAATGAAATTAATGCATATCAAAGCCCAAAAATATATATATATATATTATGCACCTACAACTCATACAACTTTAAAATCTAATTAAGATTTCAGACACTAGCTTTCAAACTCTTTATATATGGGCTCCATCATTTTGAACAAATTTGCAACCACAAAACTATACATAATCCTAAATTTACTAAATGTATCTTGATGAAATTTGGCAAGCTTTTAGTAAACATTACAAGTATTTTGTGCACAAAAAATCAGATTTTCTAATATAGTTTTTACTAAAGATTTGTCTAGGAATTTATGAAGCTTTTGGTGACTAGTCTGAGTACAAAGTGATTTTCATGTGAAGAATATTTTTTTTTCATCTTATAGTTCTATTTGCATAACCTCTAGAACCTCCTAAGTGAATTAATATAATTATATTTTCTTCAGTAAAACTATATTTTATCTGTTATTTTCTCACCCTTAAACTAAGTGTAGCAAAATAAGCAATTGAAAGTAAACTGAAAAGTTGAAAAAATATGAAATAAATCTAAATTATATTTTTTAATTTCTAGAATGATAGCAATTCTACAATCCCAGCTAATATTTTTCAACTCTGGGTTCATTTAGTTTTAAAGCTGCATTTAGAACTTTTAAGAGTACACAGCTTTGTGTATACAAATGATCGATTAATAGTACACCACAATCACATTACTATCATGCCTCACAATGAGCAAGTGCTATGATGGAGAATCATGAAAGATTTTTTGGTTAAAGTTTCCTTACCTAATATGCTTCTAACTTTAGCATTTTTGTTACTTTTATCACAATAAATAGAAAATATACATAACAAACAATAAATTTAGTACTTACATTTGAATTTGTCATTTTTTGCCATTAGGAAGACAACGTATCGTAAGCTTACATTTTTGTAACAATATCAGCGTTCCACAACATAATTTTTTTATTTTAAAAATACTATTTATAATTTAAAAAACTATGTTAGTTGGTCAAGACAAAATCTACAAAGTAAATAATGAAACTAAAGACAAATCTTTTAAAATCAGGAGCATCAATGAAACAGCCTTGTAAGGAATCTTCTAAATCAGAATCTTCTCTCTCTCTCTAATGGTTATAGATAATCCAGTAGCAGAGAGAATTATTTACATTTTTTGAAAGAGATATGACAGGAGAGTTATGACGTGTGACTGACTTTCTTGTTTATATCTCAGTAAAACAAGAGGCTTCAAGGCTAAAATTTACATTACAGTTTAGCAACATCTATAAGTGTGCAATTTGTGCTAAACTCGGAAGATCATGTAAGGATAGAAAGAATAAATAAATGTCAAGTAATATATATAAAAATAAAGAATTATTTGAATTATTAACTCTGTTTGATGCCATACTTATTGACATTCATTGATAATCAAACTTTGAATGCAACTCTGTAGAAAGGTTGTGACAAACTCACTTTGACCCATTCATGCTCATAGGGTTAACCTTCTTGGCAGTTACACTGAGACAATCTCAGACAGTGTTGTAGGTCTTGAGACAACCCATCAGAAGGTCCTGGTCTCAATGTCTCAAAAATGAGACCAGCTAAATTTAAAAGTTTTACCCATATTTAGACCTACCCAGGATTAATAAGTGCTAAATATCAATTATGCAGCAGTTCATATGATGTGCAGTATAGCATCAAAGATGGTTTACTAATAAAACCCCTTGGTAGTTGGTACTACACATTTGCAATGATGATTATAGTGACACCCTTATTTTTGTTTATGTTACCTACTACCATATTACCTGTACATCAATCCGCAGTTACAACATGCACTATTCAAATATAATTGCTACTACACATTGCATTACACATAGGCTTACTACACGTTTGTATGAACTTCATCTGGTGCACATACTCACATCAAATGTTAGAGCTTATCCCTAATATTCAACATGATCTTTGGAGCCGAACAGGATAACAGCATCTCTACTAAGTAGAGCTGCTGTCATCCTGTTCGGCTCCAAAGATCATAAAGAATTCACTGACACCATACACTCTTGAAAAACAACACAGTTTTTCTTTTGTTTTATTTGCTGACCTTTTTTTTTTATTCATTCATTCATTTTTTTCCTTATTGATGTTAAAACAAAGACTGTGGGGTTAACGTGTAAAATCTTTGCAGTTAAGGTGTTAATAAAGTTTATTTGATGCATGTGTTTTTTATTATTCTTGCTTTATTTTTCATTGTGGTCTCGGGGTGAGCCAGCTGAATATAGATCATTCACCCCAAAACAGTCTCAAGGTAAACTTTACTTTCTGATTCTGCAGCATTTAGGCCAAGTTTTTCTGCTGTGTGTTTCTGCCATTTACTGTTGTTTGTTTGTTTGTAATTAAGCACAAAGCTACACAATGGGCTATCTATGCTCTGCCCACAGACATATCGCTGTGCCACTGGGGGGCTACTGTTATTTTACATCACTCAACACCATGGGTAGAGCCAATACACACACTTAAAGCTTTATTGTCCTTCTTACAACATTAAAAGAAAACTGAAAATAGTGATAACTATGATGCAAAAAATTCCCATATACAAGAATGCCACTAAGGTTAACAATAGTCCCCATATCAAAAATAAATCATATTTTGTGATAAGTTACTTGTATAATAATTGTTCCTACATCAATAAAAATCCGACTTTATGATAATTTGCTTGCATAACAGCTGTCCCTACATAATAATGTATCCTAAAATCGAAAATTTGCTGGTATAACAATTCTATCTACATCAATAATGAATCCAACTTTGTGATAATGTGCTTGTATAACAGCTGTCCCTACATAATAATGAAACCAAATTTTG